TGCGCGTCCCGCCGGCAGCACGGGAAGGGGGACGCAGCGGGTGGGAGGACACCGCTGTCCCAGCATCTTCTCCCTGGGGCCTCTGCATCCCGGTGTCCTTCCCGGCGGAGCTTTTAAGCAAAGCAAGTGATGTTTTGCTACGAGATGCGTTGCTCTCCCCGGGCTCCCAATGCCAGGGAGATGTCCCTTGTCACCACCACTGCTTCTCTTACGTACATCAGGGTTTTACCTCCCAAGGGGCTGGCCAGCAACATTCCCAGCTCCTTGCTGTTGTTTGCAGGTGATTTCTTGCTCCGGCTGAGTTAGGAAGGGGCTGGGTGCGAGTTGAGAGACCTTCTGAGCAAGGCAGGTACCACCGCGGCTCCTTGGCAGCCCCCTCAGCTCATCTTGTGGAAAATTCCCTTCCGAGGGTCTCACAACCTGGGATCCTCCCACTCCCCTGGGTCAGATGGAGATTCCCCCCCCCCAGCCTGTGGCTTTTTCCCTTGGGGCACCCCAGGGCCCACGGGTTACCCGCACCCAGTGTGGGAAAGGGTTGCTCTCCCGGTGCTTCAAGGCTGCTGCTGCTGCTCTCCCCTTTCATCGCCTGTCCCAATCCGCACAACAAGTTCCTGGCAGCCTTTCCGCAGGGCTCCGCATGCTAAATACCGCCCGGATACTCCTGCCCTCTTAAGCAGTCGTTTTGGCGTCGGGGAAGAAGAGCCCGCTGGGCTTTTCCGGACTATCAAGGGGACGAAAGGCCCGGCTCGGGCTGCACATCGCCTGGTCTCCCTAGTGCTTCTAGCCAAGCTGAGACCTGATGCACGTTGCTGCATGGATGAGTCGCCGTGGGGATGGGCAGGCTGCGTTGGCGCCGGGGTGGCAGCCATGTTCTCGACCCTGGGGACAAACCGCGACGCAGCCGCCTCCTTCCAAGGGGCTTTTCCCCCCGTGCCGGGGCCGAGCGCCCCTGGAGCCCCAGGCCCCGCGCTCCGGAGGCTTCCCACATCCCAAGCACCTCGGGATGCTGCCCGGGACAGCGGGCAAAGTTGGACCAGGAGAAGGAGGAAGAGGAGGAGGAGAAGGGGTGGTTTGTTCAAAAAAAAAGCATCGTACTGGGGGGCCTGGGGCTTCTCCCAGCACGGGGCTTTTGTAGCTCTTTTGCCCAAAGCTGCCCCCCGTCTCACTTCGCTTGTGGGGGATCAGCCGACCGAGTGCACCGGGCGGATTGGGGGGGTCCCCGGGTGGCCCCCCTAGCTTGGACATCCCGTGTCGGGTTCCCCCGCAATGTCCCATCAGAGCCCCACGACGCGGGGGAGAGGGAAGGGGGTTTCCTTCCAATCCTCCCCCTCTGCTTCCCAAACCCACTTACTTGCAAAGAGGGCGAGCGGGACC